TAAAATGACTCTAAATATTTCCACTCTTTTAAATTTATATAGTGTTTATTATTTTACGAGTATTGTAAATGTTCATTCATGAACTACTCTTGAGGTGTTATCATTATGTCTTATCGTTGGTTTGTTGTATTGTGCTTGAAATTGAAATAATCGGGTAGTTTCTCTGTAGGTTTTGATATGGGATAATATACCAAGTCGACCAGACATGGAAAGCAGCAGAATCGAACCGTGCAAAATATCAAGTCGAGTGGAGATTAGAGACTACACAGGTCGAAAGTCGAAGAGGACGTCAAGAATACAGAGAGCAGGTCGAATTTGGGCCCCCGGATGGCCTGGTTGAAGTTCGACTCGAAGGCACAGCTGGTCGATGGATTGACCAGATAAGCAGAACCTGAGGGTTCGATGTCAGCGGTGCTCTACCTCGAGGTAATCGGGATTGGTTGTACGGTCAGACCGTCTAATGTGGAAGACTAAGAGATAAGAAGGAATCTTAAGGGGATAAGAGCTAAACGTGGATAGAGCCACGTGGCCTAACAGACTTGGACAATATGAATGGGCAGCTCGGGCAGCCCACTCGGGCAGTCTTGGGGAACCAGGTATCACCTCCTTATATAAGGGAGTGAGGTATGTCCATTATCACATTACATTCTCTACACACATTTACATACAACACATAATCTTCTTCACAATGCTAACTTAAGCATCAGAGACTCTTTATTGGAAAACCCTCTGATGTGACAATTTTTGCAAGTCTAAAGACATTCAATCAACGAGAAGCTCGTATCCAAGTAGAATCCAGCCGATCGGAGGTATTTTACATACCGAGTTCTATTTGTTCCATAAACTTAGGGGGTGTATTTTTTAAGTACTTTGAGTGCACATATTCTATTTGTTCCAGAAAGTTGTATATTTGTTTGATACTTTGGGCAATGTTTATTTTTTTTAATTGTAATTTTATTAAAATTTATGTTAGATTTTTTAAGTTTTACTAAAAATCTTGGGATTTGTTAAGTGGACAAGTCGCATTTGGTGGCGCTTATCCATCACCCTATATATAATTTTAATGTGTTGAACTTAAATGGTAGACTCGTACGTTTCGAAATCCCTTGTAACAAAATATCTGTCATATATATATATATATATATATAGAGAGAGAGAGAGAGAGAGAATCAGAATCATTATTTATTAAATTTGTACTTATATGACCACTGGTTTGGTGGATCCAATGGTCAATCATTATTATTTTTTTCATTATCCTATATACCCTCACCTGGTGAATTATCTCCCTATATATAATTTTTGAACGTGTTGAGCCTAAGTGGAAGACTCGCATGCTTCGGGGTCTTATGTGACAATTTTTCATGCTTTGTCATTCAACTTGGTTGAATTTTAATTTTTGGAAATTAAAATAGTTATATTTATTTTGTCATAAAATTAAATTACTTATTAATATTATTTTAATTAATTTAACGACAAAGTAGTTTATGAAATAAGTTAAACATATTATAATATAAGGTGGTAAATCATATAAATGACGGATGCCGTTTTAAATATATAAATAAAAATATAGTTTTTCAAAAAAATATTTGGAAATTAAGACAATTTTTTTATATGTAATTTTCTCAACAAACACCCGTGTTAAACACGGTAAGACACTAGTATATATAAAGGTAGAAACTCTTCTGTTTCTTTTTTTTTTTTCCAAAGCTGCTCTCATTAGATGAATTATATATTTAAAAAAAAAACACTCTTCT